AACTGTCAGGAAGTTCTTCCTCATGTTTAGCCGAAAACTCTTCTGATTTGATTTCAACCCGTTGGTTCTGGTCCGACCTTCCGGGGCCACAGAAAACAACTCGGCACCATCCTCTACAGGACAGCCCTTCAAGTCATTGAAGATGGTTATCACACATCACCTCTCAGTCGTCTCCTCTCCAGGCCAAACATACCCAACTCCTTCAACCTTTCCTCATAGGACTTGGTCTTGTTGGCCTCTAAGATGCCGCTGGACTTGAATCTGGCTGCTTTCCTTGCAGTTCAGGGCCTTGTTTGGTTAATTTAATGCAGAGGAGAATTTTACTTATTTATTTTGTTTTCATTGAAGGCACCCAATACAGAACACGAACAGTCTTTGCTTAGGGGACAATTTTACTGAGGACGCTTTGGCTAAACAATCATTAGAAGGCACTTTCTGGACCAGAAATTATTATCAGTGAAACATCATTTGGCATGTGACTGCATCTTCGGAGGGCTCATTTATACTTTTATTCTGGGCCTCTACAGGCCGAAACGCGTCAGGTCAAGTCCATTGGCCCTTGTGCGCTAGATTTTGGCATTTCTACATGAGGTGTGATGGGGCCCTTATATGCCTTTTAATTCTTTGTTAATAAATACATCTATCTTTTCATACTATATACATTAAGTTTTTATTGTTGGCCCTCTATTCTGTTTGACTTACCTTTTTGGGTTCTGGCACCCAATAGCCGCGTTAGTCTATTGTAGCAAAATGAAACAGAGGTCCGGTGGCACCTTAAAAGACTAACAGCATTTATTGTTAGTCTCCATATTTTTTTTTTAGTCTTTAAGGTGCCGCCGGACTCGTCTTTTGTGATGAACGCCGTCGACTTACTTCGATAGTCTGCGACTTCTGCCTCAGGAAGTCCATCGTGCCGCTCGCAGGGACGGTAGCCACCAAAAGGGAAGTGCACTGCTCTTCGTGCTTGTCCAGCTTGGCCGTCAACTCAGCGTGTAAGCCAGCGTACGATTCCCAAAGTTGCAAAGAAGTTTGGGCTTTCTGCAGCTGATCTGCTATGTCTTGGTTGATCAGCACCCACCTATCAGACAGAAGAAGAAGAGGTTGGATTTATACCCTGCCCTTCACTTGGAGTCTCATAGTGGCTTACAAACTCCCATCCCTTCCCCTTCCCACAACAGACACCCTGTGAGGTGGGTGGGGCTGAGAGAGCTCTGAGAGAACTGCTCTTGAGAGCACAGCTCTGAGAGAACTTGCAATTGACCCAAGGTCACCCAGCTGGCTGCATGTGGAGGAGTGGGGAATCAAACCCGGTTCTCTCAGATTAGAGTCTGCCACTCGTGGGCACTCCATGAAATTGCTGAGCGGTCGGGTTAGAACGGATAAAAGGAAGTACTTCTTCACCCAAAGAGTGATTAACCCATGGAATTCACTGCCACAGGAAGTGGCGGCGCCTACAAGCATGGACGGCTTCAAAAGGGAATTAGATAAGCATATGGAGCAGAGGTCCATCGGTGGCTATTAGCCACAAGGTATAGATAGGGGCTCTGGGGCAAGTGATGCTCTGTCTTCTTGGTGCTTGGGGGGGTCAACAGTGGGAGGGCTTCTAATGTCCTGGCCCCACTGGTGGGCCTCTTGATGGCACCTGGTATTTCTAGCCACTGTGTGATACAGACTGTTGGACTGGATGGGCCTTTGGCCTGATCCAACACTGGTGTCTCTTATGTTCTTATGACCTCCTATAAAATAAGCCTTTTCCTTGTTGTACTCTGCCTGGTCCTCACGCCTATTATTCAGCCAAAAGGGAGGTCTGAAGGTCTTGGGAGGGTGCTCTGGGCCTTCTCAAGGGATCCTAAATCCAGAGTGGTGGCAGCGTCAGGTAACCCCCCACCTGAGCCGTGACAGCTGCTCTTAACCACTACACCACAGATGTCGGCAGGTGCCACAGTGCCCACAGAAACCACATTGGGGACCCCTGATGTGCACACACACAAACACACACATTTATTGTACCTTGTATGCGCCTCCTTGTATTTCTGGTCAATAACGTCCGAACACGTGGGATCACACAACTTCTTCAGATTATCACCAGTAGCTTGGAGTCTAGCCCAGAGCTCTTCACTACCCTCTGCTTTATCTTGAAGAGACTGTGAAAAGAAATGCTGCACGGTGAGTTATGACTGACTTTCCCTGGATGAACCCGTGTGTCAGTTAGGATTCCCCCCCCTCAGCAGACTCTGTCAGCAAGGCCTTCTATCCGCCAGGCTCGCCTCTCCTCAGGGAGGTCCCGTGTCTTTTGGGCACTGGTCTTACGGAGCAGTTTGCTAGGGTGGATGCAGAGGGAACCGCCAGTGGCCATTTTTTGTGAGATCCATGGAACTAGATTTACTGGGAGGACCATTTTAGGCCAATTCTGTGTTCTGATTTGGAGGAACTGGAGATACCTTTGGTTTTTGCTACTTAAAAAAGATTATTTCTTTCCGATTGCATAGGTGGCCTCGAATGGAGGATAAGACAGGCTATACGTTTCAAGTAAATCATGCACGTGAAGTAATTCTAAGAGGTAATATCACTCCTTTATGGTAGCACTTTGCATCAACAACCATTCAGCTGTCATCGTTCTGACCATGCGGTGTCATTTCCTTAAATATCTGTACTGGTTTCTAGTCCTTTAGAACATAAGAGAAAGCCAAGTGTTGGATCAGGCCAATGGCCCATCCAGACCAACACTTTCAAGCATCCTGCACAAATTCCTTCAAAGCCTTCCATCGCTTTGCCTTCCCTTCTCTTTCTCTCCTCTCATATCCAGGCCTATAATCTTTCCTGTCATGTGACCTCTTCCAGGTCAATCACCCACAGCTGTCTTAGGGCCTCCTCCCCCGCTCCTTGAAATGGCTTCTCCTTTTCTCCACTGTTTTCTAATATGCCTGGAACTCTCTCCCAGGCAACTGGAAGAACATAAGAGTCCTGCTGGATCAGACCAGTGGTCCATCTAGTCCAGCCTCCTGCCTCACACAGCAGCCAACTGGTTCCTCTGGAGGACCAACCGCAGGGCAGAGAGGCCGAGGCCTTCATTAGAACCTAAGAAGAACCCTGCTGGATCAGACCAGGGGTCTGTCTAGTCCAGCATCCTGTCTCACACAGTGACAAACCACTACCTCGGATGGCCAACAACAGGGCATAGAGGCCGAGGCCTTCCTCTGATGTTGCCTCCTGGTGCTGGGATTCAGAGACTGACTGCCTCTGAACGTGGAGGTTCCTCTAAGTCATCATGGCTCGTAGCCACTGATAGACCTATCATCCATGAACCTATTGAATCCCCTTTTAAAGCTGTCAGTTCCTGCAGCCATCACACAACATCCTATGCCAGTGAATTCCACATTTTAATCACTCGTTGTGTAAAGAAGTACTTCCTTCTGTCCATCCTGAATCTACTGCCCATCAGCTTCATCTGATCCCCTCGAGTCTGTTGTGTCTGTTGTGGGGAGGGGAAGGGAAAGGAATCTGTAAGCTGCTCTGAGACTCCAAGTGAAGGGCGGGGTATAAATCTAATCTCTTCTTCTTCTTCTTTTGGGAGAGGGACAAAAATTTCTCTTTGATGCCGCATCTCACTTGAAAACCCTCTCCCAAACCTACCTTTTCCATGAAGCCCCTGAAACAACCCCCTTAGACCCCCTGCTGAATAAATACAGTCTCAGCATGTGCAACTGAAATAAATGAATATTCAGCTCCCTTATCAACCCTCTCCAACCCTCTTGTTGTCTTCCTCATCTCACATTTATTTATTGTAAGTTTCTTGGGGGCAGGGGCATGCGATCTTCTTGCAACGTGTACAACACTATGCACACTGTGGTAGCGCTAAGTAACAATTTTTTTAAAAAACCCAATATTTTCAACCAGATCCTATCCATGTTTACGTTGAAACAATTCACACTTATTTCAGTAGGATTTCCATCCTTGTAAGTGATCACAGGATTGCAGCCTCAATCAAAGGGAAGGGGGTCACGGGGCATCAGTCACAGGGCATCTGCTCCCCATGCAGAAGGCCTCAAGTTCAATCCCCAGCATCTCCCGTTAAAAGGATCAGATTGGAGATGAAGCCCCGGTACCTGAGAAATTGGAGAGCCACTGCCAGTCTAAGTAGACAATACTAACCTTTGAGAGACCAACGGGTCTGTCTCAATGTAAGACGGTTTCACGTCTTTGTGAGGAGACGCAAGGCTGCAGAATTCCTATAGTAAGAGTAGTCCCATGTAGAAAGTACCTTCATGTATCTCAAGACACATGATTCACTGGCATGTATTCTGGTGGCAGTACATGTTGGGTGTAGGTACACACTGGGAAAGGCACACAGTACTTTGTGGTGGTCTTTAGGGCACCCACACTCCTCATACCAGGCACTAGAATGTTTGTCTGTAGCAGTCGGAAAGAGCAAGAGTCCAGGACAATGTTCCCTCTAAGCGGTGGAGTCTTGTGAGCAAAAATTCTACTTTGTGAGCTACTGGCATTAAAGTTCTGAGCAAGCGATTTGGCTACTGCATTAACTTAGTTTGCTCTGGAGCCATCCTTCCTGAGCTAAGACAGAAAGGTGTGAGCTGGAGGCTAAAAAACTGTGAGCTAACTCATACTAACTCAGCTTAGAGGGAACACTGGTCCAGGAGCACCTTCAAGACTAACAAAATCTGTGGCAGGGAGGAGCTTTCATGAGTCACGGCTCACTTCTTCAGTGGCTCACAAAAGCTCCTACCCTGCCAAAAATCATCTGAGTCTGTAAGGTGCTATTGGACTCTCGCGCTTTTCTACAGCTACAGATAGACTAACATGGCTACCCACCTTGGAAGTGAGCAGTGACTCACGAAAGCTCCTCCCCTGCCACAAATTTTGTTAGTTTTTAAGGTGCTACTGGACTGTTGCTCTTTTCTACAGCTACAGACAGACACAGCTACCCATCTTGGAAGTGAGCAGTGACTCATGAAAGCTCCTCCCCTGCCACAAATTTGTCATTAAGGTGCTCCTGGTCTCTTCACTTTTTTCTACAACTACAGACAGACTAACACGGCTACCTGTCTCTATCTCCATAATATGCCCATGTAGTAAGACAGGTGGAAGGGCTCTTTTTGTGTGCTTCAGATGCAGAGAACCAGTGAGCCGCAACATGTCATCTATTCAGTCTCGTGGCTGAGAAGCAGGCCGGGCTGGAGCTGCAAGCAGAAAGAAAACGGCCCCGAGTGCTGCTCCGCCAACGCACTTGCAAGAGTTCACGCAGGGACAGAACAGCTTGGCTGCGCCACAGCTGCTGTTCCTCCCCGCGAGCAGATGTTTGCACAGGTTGCTCTGTGAGCTGAAGAAATTGTTGGAGAGACGACGACTGAGGGGGTGACATGACAGAGGCTTTACGAAACTAGGCATGAGATAGCGAAGGCAGAGAAAGGCCCCGGTCACACGAACAGTTTTGGGCCGGGAGAGGGACTGATCGGGGGCGCAGCAAATGGGCGCGATCCCACTGCAACATCTGGGAAGCGTTGCGCAGCCGTCCCCGATCTGGCCCTTCACCCGAAAAGCTGCAGCAAAAATAAACCACCTACCGAGGTGGTTTTTCCAGCATGCCGCATCAAAGCCTGGCCGTGGGATTGCCGGCGCGTCCTTCTGCCGGTGCATCCCCGGCTCCTGGCTGAACTGCGCATGCTCAGACATGCGCAGTTCGGCAGTCTCCCTTTCCCCACCGTGGCTTCCCCTGGCATCTAATCCTGCCAGGGGATCAATGTGATCCTGCCGCCGCGTGTTTCTTTTGGTGCGGCTTTATAAAGCCGCACTTTTGCCCGTTCCTTCCCCCCCCCCCATGTGGCAGGGACCAAAGAAGTACTTTTATCCCTTTCACACAATACAAGATACGATTGCTCCGGGGGGACAGGATTGCTCCCTTGAAGTATCGAAAGGGCTGTCACTTAGAGGAGGGCAGGGAGCTGTTCCTGTTGGCAGCAGAGGAGAGGACGGGGTAAAAGTCAAATAAATAAATAAATATTTAAATTAAGGGTGGGAAGGTCTTAGGAAAAACTTTTTTACAGCAAGTGTTGTGCAACGGTGGCTGCCTCGGGAGCTGGGGAGCTCCCCCTCCCTGGCAGTCTTTAAGCAGTGGCTGGACAAAAAATCCGGTAATCCCGATTATTTCCTGAATCCCAATACCATACCAATATTGAGATTCGGGAATATTGGGGGGAAACAATATTTTTCGGGTTCAATATACCCAACCCCCCCAGAAAAATTGTGCACATCCCTAGTAGCCAAGTTGGTCTGCAGTAGAAAAGCAAAGGTCAAGTCCAATAGAACCTTAAAGACCAACGAGATTTTCAGGGCACATCCTTTCAAGACTCAACACTCCTTTCATCAGATATAAACAGGAATGGAGATCCCCAAGCCCTTAGATCCATCAGATGATGGGAGGGGGTGTTGCAAAGCAGGATGCAAAGGTAAGATGCAAAATGTAAACAGCCATCTTATCTTACTGGTGGAAAGTGCTGTCCAATATTGATCCCACAGAGCAAAGAGGTGCAGAGGCGATTGCCTGCTTCCGTGTGGCAACCCTGGACTTCCTTGGTGGTTTCCCATCAGAGCCCTGACCTGAGCCAACCCTGCTTAGCTTCTGAGATTTGACGAGATCAGGCCAGCCTGGGCCAGCCAGACCAGGGTTTTATCTCACTACGGATGCTGATTTTCTGCCCCTGAGCGTTTCTGCCCAGCTCTAATCAAGCCCCCTTCTTCCCAACACCCTTCCCACCTTCTGACTAGGATATAAGGCCTCAGAGATCTCCATTCCTACTTTGTATCTGTTGAAGGGAGCTCTGACTCTTGAAAGCTTGTTCCCTGGAAATCTCATTGGTCAGCATGGTGCTACTGCACTCAAATCTTGGCGTTCACTGCCCGTGTGCCTTTGTGAGAGGTACCTGGAGGCTTTCCACCTGGCTCCTCAGGGTCCCCAGCGTAATCACAGGAGGCCTGCTGTGCTCCGCGCAATAGGAAGCTCCGGTAAGGGCGGACTTCACTTCTTCCCAGGCTTCATCATAAAGCTTCCACCGCTCTACAGACGTCTGGGTCGAGGACTTCAGCGCAGCCACCTGCAAATGCAAGCAAACGAGTCACGCTTGAAAAACAGCAGTGCCATTTCTGCTCCGCAAAGCACACTTCGGCGGTGACACAGCGAGGCGTTTTGAAACGGAGAAGCCGCCCCGTTTGTTTTTTAAAATTACTCTAGCGCTCTCTTTCTAATGCATGCTGAACAAAGGCCTTTACGAATTTAACCAATTAATCCGACTGGTTTCTCAGGCATCCGTACGTGCTTTGAACCATCTGTCGAAAAACGAAAACCGCGCATGAGAAAGTGAAGCGTCGAAACTATTAGCATTGCTAATTTAATTCAGGGCCGAGGCCTCTCAGGGCCGGCAGAATGCATCCTCAGATCACCCCTATTAGAGGATGATTTACAGAAATAATACACTGGCTTACTCTGTGTCGCCACCGTCCACAGGCAAATGTAACAGACAGAGCATCTCTTAAAGTACTTTAGATTGCAGGGAGAACCAATGGTACAATTGGGAGCTCTCGGTCCAGGAATGCTTACAATCCCCATAATGTTGAGTACCAGAATCATGCCTCTGATCCCACCTAGAATATCCATAGGTGGGGTAATTTACACCAATTCCACCACCTATGAAAGACCTCTGATTGCCCTAAGATATTCCTTGGGTGTTCTCTGTCTGCAAGGGGCAGCACTGTGGGAGGTGTTTTGGAATGCAAAACTTGCCCCTTTATTCCCCAGACCCTGTGGAAATTCAAGGCCAGATCCATGTCTGCCGCATTAGATAAATAGCTAAATTTGGTGGTGGGAGACCTGGATTCAAGTCTCAGGTTTTCTGTCAAATTATTGTGCGAGCTTGGGGGAGCTACCTCCTGACCTTATGCCCAGCATCTGCAGACTGGTAAAACAACTCTCTGATGTTACTGAGATTTAACTGTGGGTCTCCCAGACTCTAGTCTGAACCCTCTAACCATTTTACCACACTGGCTTTCAATAAGTAGGTGGGGCAATTCTAGCCCCATCCTCAGAGCAGCCCTCCAACCTCTGTGGCTATTCGTCTGTATGGGTCCCGCAACTCCACGGATCAACCTTCCTGGGAGCAGAAAGGACTGCTGTGGGGAGGGAAGGGGAAAGAGCCATGTCTTTCAAAGCTTTCTGCTGATAGATTGCTGGAGTTACCCCCAATATCTCTTTAACGTAGCCCAAAATCGATGTGTCTACCTGGTTGACAACTCTGCTCCTCTGTTGATCCAATTCGTCGATTCTTGACACAACCTCCTCAGGAAGTTCTGTGCAGTCACCTAAAGCTTGTTTCAGCTGATCCATATCCTCCGATTTAGTGGCCAGCTGGCTTTCTAGTGCCTGGGAACAAAAGGGACAGGAATGAAAATTCTCCTCTGTGCTTATTTACTTTCTTCCTTTATGCCCCACCTTTCTCTCCTCCGCCCCCATGGAGACCCAAAGCAGCTTACATTGTTCTCCTGTCCTCCATTTTACCCTCACAACAACCCTGTGAGACAGGTTGGGCCGAGAGCATGTGATTTGCCAAAGACCACCTAGCAAGCTTCCAAGACAGAGTGGAGACTCCAGCATGGGTCTCCCAGATCTTAGTCTGAAACTTTGACAAGCACACCAAGCTAGCTTAATTCAAGACATGTTCGTTTCCAGCAGTGCTGCTTCTTTGGAAAAATAGCTTTAGAGGAAGGAAAACAGAGGAAAGAAACCAAGATCACGCAGCCATTTGCAAACAGCAGAAAAATGATATTTGGAGATGTGAGTCGCAAGTGAAACACAGCACAGCAGTTTGGGAATATAAATTGGAGCCATGGACTAGATATATGCCTCCTCCTAAAAGTTGCAAAAAGAACCCATCAGTGTAGAAGTTGTATATGGAGGAACCCACCAAGAGACCACTGTCAAAGGATGCGAAAGCCAAAGTCCTGTTTAAGAGCCGTTTGGGCAAGAGAAGCCAAAGGGTGTCACTGCCACCTCCGGGTACCACTGCCACCACTACCCAGTCAGCTGGGGACCAAGGGGACCTCCCAGGTTCTAAGGACAAGAAAATCAACCCTGCAAGGTGGGACACTCATAAGGAGAGTTCCAGAAAACAATTATTTTGTTAGCTGTGTAGCCAATATGTGATAAAGTACTAGATTCAGATTGAGGCCCCAAACCCCAAGAACACCACAGAATATAAGTGGTTTATTATTGAATTGTGCAGGAATATGCAATAACAGGGCAGTGAACAGCGAGGATAAAATTATAACGCTAAAATAATCTAAGCAAAGCACATTTACAAACATTAGTTCAAGATCAGGGAAATGCTTGATCACCACGTTGGGGTCAGGAAGCAATTTTTCTCCAGGCCAGTTTGGATGGAGATCCTGGAGGTATTTTGCCATCTTCTGGGCATGGAGCAGGGGTCACTGCGGGTGTGGGGGGAGGTATCTGTGATTTCCTGCATTGTGCAGGGGTTTGGACTAGATGACTCTGGGGGTTCCTTCTGACTCTATGAGTCTATGTTACCCAGCAAGACTGAGTCCAACAGGGGTTCAAGGTTCAAAGTAAGTCCAAGACAAAGGCTCTGATCAGCATGACCCACTGCAAATCAAGAAGTGTCCCAAAGTTAAATGTAATCCAGACACAGGGTGGAATTGGAATAAAAGATCTTCTCTTTATGCTCAACGGCCTGTGTTTGCCTGATTCTAGGTGACTAATCAGCTGTATAGCAAATGCTGTTAACTTGACCAATTTTGCAAACCAGGTGACTCAACCAATCAGGTGAATTTGCTAATTAGACCAGACACTCTGCAGCTGCATCAAGTCCATTTAAGTGAATACCTTCACCCGCCCTTGGGTTCGGGCACTAACGAGAGGGAATGTATCCTCCTAAAGGATTCTTGTGGCCTTGAAACTTTCAGGCCTAATGGTCTGACCAGGTTGGCTTCCATCTCCCTTATCTGACTAAAGCATCCATTTTCTACAGGGAACTGATCTCTGCAGTTTGGAGATGAGCTGTAATTCTGGAGGATCCCCAGGTCTTCCCTAGAGGCTGGCATCCCTACATCACTCACTGCCTGGTCCTTTCAACTGGAAATCCCAGGGATTGAAGCTGGGATCTTCTGCATGCCAAGCAGATGCTCTGCTACTGTGATATGACCCCTCCCCAGTGTTTTAAGACCGGGGAAACAAACCCGTATTATCATCTGTACGTTTTGCTTATGCATTGTTCATTAGTAGTTCCCTGCGAGTGTGGGGGGGTATCCTTCCTTCCCTGCCTTGCCTTTTATCTAAATATACACCCAATCACCACTTATCCTGCAGGAGTAACTAACCCCCCACCACCAAACATATAGATTATGTATTAAAAAGGCATGTACACCCTAGATTTGGACTAATATATTTTTTAAAAAAATGGTAATAACTATTGTGTTATGCAAAGAGCCAAACACAAGGTCCAAGACGACTGAAAACACACCAGGCTCAAACACTTTTAGGCTCATTTCATACAGGTATTAATTGTTTGTAAGCCGACCTGAGCCGCCTTGGCGGGAGGGCGAGGTAAAAGTTCGATAAATAAATAAGTAGAAGTTTGATAAATTAATAAATAAATGTTTGGTATTTGTTGCCTTCTGTTTCTGTCCTGCTTTTCAGCCAGCAGGCGCTTCGAAGTGGCTTATATAAATAACCAAAATTTAAAAATACTGTAAAAACAACTGAATACTAGAACTGAACTATAAACTATAAAACTATAAACTATACATCATAAAATTATAAACTAACAACTGAAATGCCACCAAAAAACAAAACACAACAGTTCAGCAACACACACACTATCATCATCATCATCATCATCATCATCATCATCATCATCATCATCATCATCATCATCAAAGTTTCAGGTAAAGAGCTCCAGATGCCCCAGTCTAAACCTCCCCGGGACTCATTTTTGAATGGGATGATGGGGTTTGACTCTAGTCAATCGTATCCATGAATTTGCAGAGACATTAGTATCCACCAATCCTTGGTGTTCTACATCAGAAACCACAGGAACTACACTTCCCATAGTTCATGGCAGCCTCTAAGGACTACTGGAATCTTCTAACATCATGTTGTTCTGGTTACCACACCCAACTCCAACAGATGTCCCACTGGACCTTGGGGAAACACTCCCAAACTGGGAAATTGCTCCCACAGAGCGGGCAGGAGAGCGTGCATCCTCCAGAGCCGAGGGCCCCAAACGGAAGGCTGGGGAGGCAGGGTCCTTTTCTACAGCCATTTTTTCTTTCCAGTTGCCCCTTGCAATTGATCAGAGGCATTTATTTAAGGGCCTGCTCAGCTCACTGCTCTTTCCTATAACTTGTGGAAGTAATTAGAGAACCACAGCTGCCAACAGAAGGATATAACGGAACGACAGAGCTGTGTAGCGAGCTATCATAACATTAAAGCATCTTCACAAACGTGTCTATTATCATCATTTAAACAGAGCTCTAGGTGTTTAATAAGGAATAGAATCTACAAAATACAATCTACAAAATACAATCGACAAAACTCAATGAAGGTCCAAGAATAATCTCAATCTAATGACGTTTCCAGGTATAAGGTTCGTTTCAGATCTTCATCTTCAAATACCTTACAGAAACGAAATATTGACCTTCAAAGTGTACTTGACTAGTCTGAAGAGTTTAATAGAAAATGCTGTGCCGTTATTATTGGCCCTTCTCTGATGAAGATTTGAAATGAACTTTATACCCGGAAACGTTGTTAGATTGAGATTATTTTTGGACCTTCATTCTGTTTTATAGACTGTATTTTGTAGATTGTATTTTGTAGATTCTACTCATTAAACACGTAGAGCTTTGTTTAAATGATACCAGACACGTTTGTGAAGATGCTTTAATGTCATGATAGCGTGCTACACAGCTCTGTCGTTCCATTATCTCTTTCCTATACTTTAGCAGAGTATTCCTAAACACAGTAACTCTTTCCTTGAATCTATTAAAGTCCATGGACTTAGAAGGGTGTAAATCTTTTTAGGATGGTACTGTAAGAGAAGTAGAGTGATGCAAAGTCAGCGGATATATGTGCACATGCATATTTCATTCAGGCCACAGAAATCCACATTTCTTGGTGCAAGATATGGTGCAGTTTTTCCCCCCAAAACGGTTTTATATACACGCCTAGCGACAAGTAACGCTTTTGTAAAGTTTTTAAGATGTCCCCCACCCCCACTTAAGATCTTGCAAAATTGTACCTGGCTTTAGTTAATGTCCCTCGTTCCCTTCCTCTCTCCCCTAGTGAGTGTACCTGCTTGCTAAGAGCGTTTCAATCTGTCCCTTATTTATTCACGAAGCTTCTTCAGAACTAGTTGGAATGAATCCCTCCGTCCCCCGACTAGGAAAACAAAACACTCTGGGGCTCAGCAAAACATTATAGGGAATAAATAACCACATTATACTCTACTTCGCTGCTTCTGCAAGGGGACAGAAAGGAGAAACCATGGCAACAAAGCAAAACCAAACCTGCACCTAGAAGGAGGAGGGTGGTGGTAACTGGTAAGACAGTCACAACAAATACTGCCAAACTATTACTAGTTTGAGAATTAGGGTGGAGGGCTGCCACTTTTAACCGACTGGGGTAACTGATTAGAAACTTTTCCGACTGATGTAAAAGGCAGTCTCAATGAATTTTGTAACTTACAAATTAATTTTCTTATAAGTGTATATTATTAGAGTGCAGATGGGCTGGTACCATCTTAGGAAAGGATATCTTTTGTTAGTCGCATGTTGCCGCAGGCCTCCTCTGCGAAGAGGCATGCTGTGAAAGGGGTGGGGTGGAGGCAAAGGGAGATTTCCTCTTTTTAGAATGTAAGAAAAGACTTGCTGGATCACACCAGTGGTCCATCCAGTCCAGCATGTTGTTGGCCCTCCAGAATAACTGGCCGGCCACTGAGTGAGACAAGATGGTGGACTTGACAGACCACTGGTCTGATCCAGCAGGGCTCTTTTTATGTTCACAGAATCATAGAATCACAGAGTTGGAAGGGATCTTCAGGGTCATCTAGTCCAACCCCGCGCACAATGCAGGAAATTCACCAATACCTCCCCCCCCCACACCCCCAGTGACTGCTGTTCCACGCCCAGATGACAAAAAACCTCCAGGATCTCCAGCCAAACTGTTCTTTGAAGATGATCTCCCCCCTCATTTGACACTGCGTAGAGTGCCTCTTCTCAAAGGATGCCTGCGGCAACACACATCTAACAAAGATTATTCATTTCCCCCCTTCAATGAGATTATTTATGCAGGCAAGTTTAGTTGATTAAAACTCTAAACAATTTCTTTCAGTTTCGTGTAGTGGTTAAGTTCACGGACTCTAATCTGGGAGAACCAGGTTTGATTTCCCCACTCCTCCACTTGCACCTGCTGGATGACCTTGGGCAAGCCATAGTTCTGACAAGAGCTGTTCTCTCAGAGCTCTCTCAGCCCCACCTACCTCACAGGGTGTCTGTTGTGGGGAGGGGAAGGGAAAGGAGTTTGTAAGACGCTCTGAGACTCCCAAGAGAAGAGCAGGGTACAAATCCAATCTCTTCTTCATTATATCAGCCTTGTAACATATTTTTGCTTTTGTCCTCCAGGTCCCAGTTCAAAGCCAATAGAGCAGTAGCCAAAATTACAGATAATGGATAGCAGAATGATGGAAGAAATAGCCTTCCTTAGTGGGGGTTGGAACAAGGTCATTTTTGGGCAGTACCGCTGATGCTGTACCAGTAGAAGCCCACATATGGTTGCTCCTCTGTCTACATTCCATAAAGTGGTTTTTTTAAAGGAAGCATTCTACTGAGTTGCATACCACAGCCTAGGACTGTCTTTCTTAGGAGTTTATTTATTTATCATATTAGGTTTGCCTACTGCCCTCGCAGCGAGCGGGCTCAGGGCGGTTCACATCAAAGTAATATAAAACACATACAATCTACTAAATAATTTAAAATACAGTCGAAAGCCCGATAGCCGTAAGGTGCCATCATACAATTCTGCCCCCCCCCCCATTTACATTAGCAATGGAGGAAAAGGAGTGGGAAGCAGATTGTGAATCAAATGGTTGTTAAGAAACATTAAACTGTTAAGAAACTGTTGCTGCTGAAAAAAATGCTGCTGTCCTCAATCGTATCTTCAGTGGGAACATATCCGCCTTGCAAGCAGTGTTCCCTCTAAGCTGAGTTAGTGTGAGCTAACTCACAGTTTTTTAGCCTCCGGCTCACACGTTTTTCTCTTAGCTCGGAAAGGATGGCTCCAGAGCAAACTAATTTATGCAGTAGCGAAATCGTTTGCTCACAACTTTAATGTCAGTAGCTCACAAAGTAGAATTTTTGCTCACAAGACCCCACAGCTTAGAAGGAGCATTGCTTGCAAGCCTTGCGGGACTGTAGCAAATCCCGTAGGGCCCTGATGTTAACCAGCAGAGAGCTCAGCAAGTCAGAGCCAGGGCTGAAAAGGCCCTGGCTCTGGCTGAGGACAGCTAGACACCCTTTAGGCCAGGGACTTCCAACTGATGTTGGTCACTTGAGCTTAATGCTCTCCAAGGGACAGAGTTGTATTTCTGTCTGTTTTAAATCTCCATTGGATGTATGCAAGTTGTTGTGTGTGATTTTTATTGATTGGCTTTATTGCACGCCGCCTTGAGCTCAATGTTTCTGGGAAAGGCACCGTCTTAATGGGACAGGATCTAGTTGACTTTTCACTCAATGGAATGGAACCAGGGAGGACTGTGAGGCGCTCCAGAGGGATCTGTCGAGGCTGGATGAGTGGCCATCCATGTGGCAAATGAGGTTCAGCGTGGGCAAGTGCAGAGTGATGCATATTGGAGCCAAAACTCCTAACTATAAATGTACATTGATGGGGTCTGAACTAGCAGAAACTGACCAGGAGTGAGATCTTGGAGCTGTGGTAGATAGCTCACTGAAGATGTCGCCTCAATAAAAAAGGGAAATGCTATCCTGGGGATTATTAGGAAGGAGATTGAAAACAAATCAGCCAGTATCATAATGCCCCTATATAAATCTATGGTGTGGCCTCATTTGGGATACTGTGGACAGTTCTGGTTACCGTACTTCAAAAAAGATATTATAGCATTGGGTAAGGTGCAGAAAAGGGCAACTAATATGACTAAGGGGATGGAACGCCTTCCCTATGAAGAAACGTTAAAGAGGTTAGGGCTCTTTAGCTTGGAGAAAGGATGATTGAGGGGTCATATAGTAGAGGTTTACAAAATTATGCATGAGATAGAGAAGGTAGAGAAAGAAGTACTTTTCTCCCTTTCTCACAATACAAGAACTCATGGTCACTCCACGAAATTGATGAGCAGTTGGCTGAGAACAGATAAAAAGAAGTACTTCTTTTTTACCAAAAGAGTAATTAACATGTGGAATTCACTGCTGCTAGAAGTACTGGCGGCTACAAGCATAGACAGCTTCAAGAGGGGACTGGATAAACATATGGAGCAGAGGTCCCTGAGTGGCTACTAGCCACAAGGTCTAGATGGAACACTCTGTCTGGGGCAGTGATGCTCTGTCTTCTTGGTGCTTGGGGGGTAGGGATGTGCATTCAGTTCGGACAAACTAAAAAACAAACTGAATAATGCCTATTCGGCATTATTTGGGCCTGCCAAAAGCTGAATCAGGTTCCCTAATCTGATTCAGCTGG